TTTACCGATTTAGCGAAGATGTAGAAGATTTTGAGTGTTATTAGGAAAGTTTGAAGAAAATACTCTTTATGGAATTTATGAAGTTAATCAGCTTTCATTTTTATTTTATATATACAGTCTGGAAATTTAGCAACCCACTGAAGACGCTGAGAACTATTTCAGAAAAGAAATATTTAGCAATAGAACTCTATAATTTCTACAGATCAATGGTAAATAGATTCATACACAAAAGAGGTAGTGAGTAAAGTTTTAGAACAGATGTGTGAAAAAATCCCTTTTCAAACAAAGGCTCATGTGCACATGGGGAATGGGAGGAAAAATTACTGTGTTATTTTGTTGTTGTATGGCGAATTCATACAGGGCAATGGGCCTTAATAAAAGTATTTTTGTTGTTGTTATATTTATACAGAAAGAGCCACAGTAAGCACAAAGTCATGCGGACATTTGAAAGACTTATTTGAACCATAATTACCTAACATTAGAAAATTTAAAATATTTTTGGGAAACTATTAAAAGCCTAAAATTTCTATCATTTCAAAGAGGTTTAAATTTCATTAAAAAATCACAAAAGAAAGGTGAGGAAATTTCAAAGTATATTATTGCTCTAAGGAAACTTGCTGTATTATGTGAAATATCGGATTTTGTAGAATATTCTTTGAAGGATAAATTGGTAGTAGGCTTAAAGATGAGAAGATCTAGGAAAATTAGCCTGGTGAAGAAAATAAAACCTTTTAAAGAGCATGTGAGGTAGCTCTGAAAATATTGAGGATGCAGCAATAAATACAAAATCGATTTATTATAAAGAATATGATGAATTTGTACAGATTGAAACATAATGGAATAAAATTGAGAGAAAGAATACAAGGGATAAATTTAGTTTGTGTAAACACTGGGAAAGCCATTAGAGAATTGACAATTAAAATAATTTTATTGACATTTTTTCAATACCTGCAAAGGTGCACAGTCTGCCTTATTTAAAAAAGATAATTATATATACATGTTACTATGTACAATGAATATGGCGCCTCTGCCAGCGCGACAGAGTTTGATGGAGAATCGCCAGCGGGTCTCAAGCGACACCACGTATTTCGCCATCTACGAAGAATACGTAGATCGCGTACTTCGCCGCTGAGGAGATGGTGATGGCGTGGTCCTCTAGACCAACTGGAAAGATCCAGGACTGCAGGTCCGACCGATGGAGGAGATTAAAATGATGGAGATTAGAATAAAGAATACAAGGGATAAATTTAGTTTGTGTAAACACTGTGGGAAAAGCCATTAGAGCAGGAAAGGGAGAGGGCTATGTACATTTAGAGAAGCTACCTGTTTTGAATGTCAAAATAGGGGCCATCTGGCTTCAATTTGCAAATCTCTCAATAAGTGGAAGGATTATTATTTAGAAGATGAAACTGCCCAAAGCAGCCCTCAATATGATAATGCAGTTTTAAGACTATGATAGAGACGATGCCCAGAAGTAAACAATTTTTTTTTTCAAATAGCAACTCTACACCATATACATTTTATCTTGTAATTGAAGTAGAAAATGTGAAAATTGATACAGGAAGTAATTTACTCATATTTTCACAAAATAAGATAACCAAAATATGTTTACTTGGGCAATTACAACCTACAAATATTATACTTAAGACTTATAAATCTTAGAATAGGACTTATAAAGTCTATATAACCCATTGGGTCAAATAAAATTTAAAATCCTTCTTTATTATCTCTACACTGAGTGGATAAGAATGTGTCTTCCTTTGTCATTAAGACTGGGGGCACTACTCAGTAGCAGGTCGACTTAGCTAAAAAAAAAAAAAAATGCCCGCCTCTGACATGAGGAACAGACACCATCTGCAGCCGCTCCTAACATGGAGTACAAACGCTTTTCATCCTGTATCACTGGATCAGAAGCCTTTACAGGGTACTATGAGCCGGGCCAGCTGAACCCAGGTTTTTTAATGAGCTTGTTACTGCTCCCCCTCCTTCTTTTTCATCCGAACTTTGGACCGGCAAAGACGGAGTTAAGTTTAAAGTAGAATACAATAACAATAAAATAATTAAAGACAATTGTAGCTCATAGGAATAAACATCCATTATCAGGAAGGGAATGGTTGAATAAATTATAAATTTACCAAATATTTGTCCACAATAGTCAACCTAAGAATAACTTACTCTCTAAAAATTTCTCTCAAATATTATAAAGAAATATTTGGTCTATCCAAAGTTTTTATTAAAGTCTTCACATATAATTGTAATATAAATATTTCTATTTAATCAGGTTTTTTTGTAAGGCAAGACCAGTGCCCTTTACCTTAAGAACATTGTTCGAAAAAAAAGTAGAGAGATTAAAAAAACTGTCTTTATTTATTCAGTTACACGTAGCTCTTGAGCTACACCAGTATTAATAGTGTCAAAGAAAAATAAGGCATTAGAATTTTCTGTGTCTTCAAAAAGGTGACCTTTAAGAACATTTCAGATATCACCATTTATCCGACTCAAGAAGTCATTTTCACTATGTTAACATAAAAGTCATTTTTCACAAAATTTGATCCACACAGTGCTTATTTGCAAATACAAGTTGATAATTTGTGTAAGCATTATATCAATATCAACACATTTATTTTTTAAATAATCACAGGCGTTAAAATTAGTTTGAAATTCCGACAAATAAGAGTCTATATCAACAACAACAACAACAAAAGCCTTTATTGAGGACCTCTCGTCCTATACAGGAATCGCCAGTTTACAGAGTAAGAGAAGAGAACTAATAATGCAGAGAGAAGCCCACATGTAGTAGGTATAGTATTTTCTACACTGTGACTATATACAACAGCAGCAACAAGCCTTTTACTGGTCTACGTCATTCTAATTCTGACATAGATTATTTGCATATAATTATTGACATCAATAAGATTATGTATATAGCCTCCTCTTCTCTTCAGCCGTCTTCCAAAATTTGAACAACGCAAAAGCTCCAGCTCTGTTTCTCATCACCTCATTCAACAGGAGCTCCAAAGAGAGTCCCTCGAGGCCTATTTCACTGAGGAGCACTTCTCGTTCGTCTTTCAGCCCCATATATGAGAGTAAATGGTGATGTAGCCCCGGCTCCATTCTTGTCCCGCAAATCTCGCATGTCCATCCGTCTGTTTTAAATATTCTGGGGCGATCATCAGCAAAGAGCACCGATAGGATTAAGAGTCTATATCAATTTCGAAGTGTGCCATTTGGACTTTAAAGTGTCCCAAAGCAGTGTCAATCAATAATGAATAATTTATTTAGACGTAATCTTCCTGTGATATTTTTATAGCATCGTCTTCAGAAGAAGACCACTTGGGACTTGGGAATACTTAGAACCTACAATATCAGATTGGAAGAAAAAAATGTTTATTTTTCAGAAGCAAAATTGAATATTTAGGTCATGTTATCAATAAGAATGGTATACAACCAATTTCTAAAAATATAAACGCTAGTGAGGAGGCAGAGGCTTAAAATAATATCCAAGAATTGCTGTGATTTTTAGTAAGATTTGAATTATTATGATAAATTAATAAAGTACCTATTATCGCTGCTTTCTCCACTGTCTCCCCACTGCTTTTCAAATGTCGTTCTACAATCATAAGCCGATAGCTTACAATATGCAATACATAGCCTACAATCATAAGCCTAGTGAACATGGCATCTGCCCGGTAAGCAGAACACTGTGGGTTCGATTCCCATCCCTGGATACTTTATTTTTCCGTTTATTATTACTCTTCACAATTCATCCTTTCATACTTCATCCTTAAGGTTAGATATAATCGTTATTTATTCTTTAAAATAAATTACGAAATTTCATTCAAAATAAACACATGCGGTATAATTTTCAAATGTCGTTCTTCAATCATAAGCCGCATTATATTGTATTATAAATTTATCCACTGTATCAACATCTCAAGTTAGTTCTGATATCAGAAATGTCAAGAATGATTCTAAAAATGCCAAGATGCCTTAACAACTAAGTCATTATTAGTGCACTATGATTCCAAGCTGGCGCTGGTTATTTCCGCTGACGCATCAGTTAATGGATTCGGGGCAGTCCTATCGCATATTATTGAAGATGAAGAAAAGCCGATATTTTATGATTTCAGAGCCTTGTAAAAGGCAGAAATCAATTATTTACAGATATAGAAAAGTGTTTTATCAATATATTAGGCGAAAAGGTAACATAAATTTATATATGGAAATATATATATGTCGTATTGTAATTTTTCCAAAGTTCAATGTCTGGAAATGACAATTAAGCAGTCGTTTGTGGCTTTCTCCACCTCAATAATCCTCTCTTTATTTTTTTCAAATCTTTTTTAAACAAAACAAAAATTTACATACACCATTTAATTAAATCTTTAGTAAAAAAAAAAATAAAATAAAATAAAATTTACATTCTATCATTCAAAATGTATCATATATATATATATATTAGAAACAAAGTAGGCATATACTGACCAGGAGCACATGTGCTTTTCAGATGGCAGAGAGCGCCATCTAGTGGAAAATATATCAACTAAACGTTAATTTAACTTGTTCCCTGAAATCAATGTTTAGTTGATTTCTGTTCCTCTAGATGACACTCTGCCACCTGAAAAGCACATGTGCTCCTGGTCAGGATATGCCTACTTTGTTTTTAATATCAACACCTGAACTTGTTTTTTTCTATTGTTTTTTCATATATATATATTTTTATCCTATGCTCTTGTTGGCAATTATGGGTCCTAGATAATATATTATAAAGGACTGCGGCGTATAATTATAAAGCAATACTTAAAGTTTCACCGCATAAGTTTCTTTTTTTTTTGTGAAAAATCAATATTTATTTCAAAGAGAAATATCTACTATTTCTAACTTTTTTTGGATGACGTATGAAAAGGTTGAATATATGAAGAGTAATGGTCTATATATGATTGGATGACGTATGAAAGGGTGAAAATATGAAGAGTAATGACGAACGGAAAAATAAAAGTGTCCAGGGGCGGGAATCGAACCCACAACCTTCCGCTTACCTGGCAGATGCCATGTCCACTAGGCTACCCTGGACGTATTTTTCCGTTCGTAACTAATACTTAAAGTAACTTATAATACATTATAAAGGACTGCGGCGTATGGTTATAAAGCAATACTTAAAGTATTCAATATATTCAACCTTTTCATACGTCATCCAAAAAAAGTTAGAAATAGTAGATATTTCTCTTTGAAATAAATATTGATTTTTCACAAAAAAAGAAACTTATGCGGTGTAACTTTAAGTATTGCTTATAGATAATATATTCCCAATATATCAATATAAAGAATACAGAGATGGTGTCGGACCTCGGAAGCATATGACTATGAATTCAAATTTTAAAAATATCAGGAACATGGTAATTCATTAGCATTATCTAGATTACCTGCTGGCTATGAAAAATACCTAGAACACAAATGGAATATATATCTCGTAAATAATTGAAAATTGATGCAGATTTTTCTTGTATATAAAATATAGTCTGTAATAAAATGTATGTGGATTTTAATTGAGCCTGTAAAAGTTAACTTTTGTCAGGTTCTCTATGAGTAGGTTGATAATTGATCAAATATATGTGAACATGGAAGTAAGATGGATATAATTTGACAGAAATTCAACACTTACATTAAAATTCAAAAGTGATTTAATAGAATTCGATCAAATTGTCATCAAATTGTTTTATTCGTATATTTATAGGTCATTGAGACCTAGTCGATTAGATACAAGTTTCTAATAATAATATTTCTAAATATTTAGTTATATTTACATTACATACCTTTTAATAAATTAAAAATATTTAAAATTTAGAAATTTTGAAGACAAAATTTAATTATTAAAATATTGAGGTTAACCCAAAAAAAAAAAAAGAAATCTCATTTGTGTTTTTTTATGAGTTTTTAAAAATTGTTCATTAATTTTTAACATAATAGATTTTGTGCCAAAGGTAAAATTGATCTAATTAATTAACAGACGATATACCGGCGAGGTTATTCAGAAGATGTCGTCTGCTACTTATAATATTTTCTTGCACAAGTTCTTTTGATTATAATTTTGAGTCAAAATTTCAAAATTGGTTTCAAAATTCTTTCGGGTTTTAAAATATGGTTTCGAAAATATTTCTCTTTTTTAATTCTTAAAATTAAAGATACTTCGGCCAGTTCATCTTTTTATTAGCTCGACGTTTCGACAAAAATCTTTGGTTCTCCTCAGAAGCAAATAAAAATTAAAAAATTTGGCAAGGGGTAAATTTTATGTCGAACGTTGAGATAATAAAAAAAAATTACTGGCCGAAATAGCTTTAATTTGAAGAACTATGAATGCTGGCCAGGCAGCCTCTATCTTTACAATCTCTTTTAATATCTATTCAAATTTAATATTTATCATTACATATCAAAATGCTTATTATTTTAATTCGAAACTATTATAGACGCGTATGATTCTTTATTAAATTAAACAATTTCTGCTGTCCTTAGTGCAATAGAAAAAGTAATGGGAGGACCTGGCCAGTTTATTCTACTACACTGGTGTCCAGAAAATAAGAAACTTAACCAATATTGAAATTTATCAAAAGCTAATCTATTAACAAATATAAAATTTAGTACACAAATAGTTTAAACTATGGAGAATTTGACTAGCTATATGAAAATTAAAAAAATATATTTGAAATTATGAAATATGCAAATTATTACCAACATACCCAAAGCTAAGGTTCCAGATCTTAAAGAAATAAGATATCAATAGGGAGTATGATCACCTCTAACAGCTATCAAGGTCTCACAGCGAGCCCTCATACTGTTTACCAGGCTTTGGAGGAGGTCCAGGGGTAGTAAACCCCACTCCTCCAATAGAGCAGTTCTTAGCTCAACGAGGGTTCTGGGAGAGGGGTGACGAGCTCCAATACGCCTCCCTAGAGCATCCCACACATGCTCTATTGGATTCAGGTCCGGAGATCTGGCTGGCCAATCCATCCTTCGAATATTCTCACTCTGGAGATATTCATTGACTAGCCTAGCCCTATGCGGACGAGCATTATCGTCCATAAAAATTAAATTGTGACCAATTTGATCTCTATAATCAAGGATCTCGTCCCTGTACCTTTGGGCAGTTAAAGTGCCCCCAGAAAAAATGTGGAGGGGTGTGCGTCTGCTAGAACTGATGCCAGCCCAGACTAAGAGACTGCCCCCTCTAAAACTGTCTATTTCCCTGATGTTACTGGGATGATAGCGGGTTACAGCCTCCCTCCAGATGAAAACTCGTCGAGAATCTGTGTTTAAACTAAATCTTGACTCGTCACTCGTCAGGCCCACTGATCATGAGTCCAGGCGTGATGTTCCAAACACCAATTCAAGCGGGCTCTCCTGTGAGCAGAGATTAAAGGGATACAGATCATTGGTCGTCTTGCATAAAGAGCACCTTCGTGAAGCCTTCGGTAAACAGTTTGTCTTGAAATTCTCGTTCCATTTATTCACATTTAGCCATTTTGCTACTTCAACTTGTGATTTCCCTGCCTCCATTCTTCCAACAGCTCTCCATTTTAAATCATCTGCAAAAATTTTTCGTAAACTCGAATTAACTAAGGATGAAATAAAATTATAATTGGACAATTCTTAGATGGGGTAAACGACACGCCAAATAGCACACTTATAAAGACAATCAAAAGTTTGCATATTTTCAATTTTACCGAACCGAATGGTTGCGATAAATATATTCTACGACTTGAAATACCTAATTAAATTACTTTTTAGCTTTTAGCGTTGTATATTTCAAAACATATCATTAAAAAACAAAGGTTTCTTAATTTTTGGACACCAGTGTATATTAAACTCGCGAAACCGCTGGGAGGTTGCACCACTGATGAGCTAGGCCCTACCATTAATTTTCCCATTGTAGTAAGGACAGTAGAAATTGTTTTGTTTTTTTTTTTTTAAATCATACGCGTCTATAATAGTTTTGAATTTTGATAACAGATGGCGCGCTAATGTTTCATAATATGCTTATTATTGTATTTGAAAAAATGGGATTTTAAAAATATTGATATCTTTAAATACCAATTTCAAAAGGGGGAGGTGTCCTCTTACCGGAGAGTTGCTAAATAGTAAAAATGACAATTTCGGCAATGAAAACTGTCCTTTATAGAGAGGTATTCTCTAGCGTGAGTGTCCTCTCATGGAGGTTCTACTGTATAGGACAATGATACTCGTTATCCTAACAATGTTTTTATTTTCTATAATTTCTTTCAGTTTAATTTTTTTTCTTATCCCTAGTACACGTGGTACAGGCCATGATAATCATGGTGGGTAGAAGTTGCCGACTGCTTTTACTGTAAGTGCACCACATGTCTATACATGTAAAAAGCAGTTCGACTTTGCACTTATAGAGGTGCCATAGCCCCGTTTGATTACTTGCACTCGTTGGTGAGGTTTGACCTTTGCAAGAATCGGGAGCCATTGGAGATTTTTTTTATCAGAAAAAAAGTGCTAATGCGGGAATCGAACCCGGGTCGTGGGAGTTGAAAACCAACGGTTTGACCATCCTTTCACCGACCCTCACAAAAATATTCTAAAATGAGTTATTAAGGTCAGAATATGCGAAGTTTAAGGACTTTTGCCATAATCGGGGGTCATTGGAACACTTTTTTTTAATCATAAAAAAATGCTCAATTCGGGAATCGAACCCGGGTTGTAGCGGTTGAAAACCAACGGTTTAGACCATCCTTCCACCGAACCCAACAAAAATATTCTAAAACAAGTTATTAAGGTCAGAATATGCGAGGTTTAAGGACTTTTGCAATAATCGGGGGCCATTGGAACACTTTTTTTAATCATAAAAAATTGCTCAATTCGGGAATCGAACCCGGGTTGTAGCGGTTGAAACCCAACGGTTTAGACCATCCTTCCACCGACCCTCACAAAAATATTCTAAAACAAGTTATTAAGGTCAGAATATGCGATGTTTAAAGTCTCGTACCAAGAAATTCCCGGTCAATAGACCTCCGTCTGAACGTGGGTCAAGGCCATTGAGTTATTGATGGCCGCTGGGTGATAGAAATGTTGACCATAGGGGGCGTTACATAACTTTATCACCTGCCATAGCTCCAGGATAGATGACAAAGTAAATGGTTTATCATTACTATATCATACATATAATATAATATTTGGACTTTTTATTCTATAATACAATATAATGGAGCTTATGATTGTAGAACGAAGTTTGACAATTACACCGCAAATATTTTTCTTTTGAACGAAAAATCGGAATTTATTTTAAGGAGAAATAACGATTATTTCTAACCTTAGGGATGAAGTATGATAAGATGAATTGTGAAGAGTAATAATATGTCCAGAGTAGCCTAGTGGACATGGCATCTGCCCGGTAAGCGGAACACTGTAGGTTCGGTTCCCATCCCTGGACACTTTATTTTTCCGTTTATCATTACTCTTCATAATTCATCCTTTCATACTTCATCCCTAAGGTTAGATATAATAGTTATTTCTCCTTAAGATATATTTCGTGTTTTCGTTCAAAAGAAATATTTGCGGTATAATTGTCAAATTTCGTTCTACTTTTTATATTCTGTTTATTTTTCTGGAAAACAGATCTGAAACTGTTGCAGACGCAAAAAGATAAATAACATAGATATCCAGAATAGATGTCAAAGTAAAAGCTAAATTGTGTTTTTATTTTATTAACAGAGTATCATTTTGATGTTTATATTGCCACGTGGAAAATTAGGGAAGACCAACTTCGGAATGAGACAACAATTTATTTCAGGCAAGAACAAACTATGAGTGATAAACAAAAGATAAGCTAAATTGTGTTTTTATTTTATTAACAGAGTTTCATTTTGATGTTTATATTGCCACGTGGAAAATTAGGGAAGACCAACTTCGGAATGAGACAACAATTTATTTCAGGCAAGAACAAACTATGAGTGATAAACAAAAGATAAGCAAAAGAGAGAAGTGTACAGAGTATAGCAAAATATAAACATTAAAAAAATATTACTCTGCTAAAAAAATAAATACTTTGATACAATATTTTGCTATTCTGTACACTTTCCTCATTACATATCTTTTTTATCATTCATAATTTGTATTTGCCCTAAATAAATTGCTGTGTCATCTTTGAAGTTTGACTTTCCTAATTTTCCATGTGGCAATTTTATCACCTGCCATAGATCCAGGATAGATAGCAAAGTAAAATGTTTATTATTACTATATGATACAGACAATACTTTATATTATTTGGCATTTGTGCTGATCAATTCCTGGAAAACAGTTATAGAACTGTATAAAATACGCGAAAAGGTAATTTTGTTGTTGTTGACGTGTCCAATGAGCCTCGGATGTCTCCATACATCTCTATCACAGCAGTCGCAATGTTCTCTATATTGGTTATGTAAAGCTGCTGCTGTCCATGTCAATTTTCTGTTGTTGTTGTTGAGTCCAATGAAGAGCCTCAGATATTTCCATGCATCTCTATCACAGCAGTCGCAATGTTCTCTATATTGGTTATGTAAAGCTGCTGCTGTCCATGTCAATTTTCTGTTGTTGTTGTTGAGTCCAATGAAGAGCCTCAGATATTTCCATGCATCTCTATCACAGCAGTCGAAATGTTCTCTATCTTGGGTATATAAAGCTACTGCTCTGGGTCCATGTCAATTTTCTGTTGTTGTCGTGTCCAATAAAAGAGCCTCAGATGTCTCCATGCATCTCTATCTCAGCGGTAGCAATGTCTTCTATCTTGGGTGGGTAAATCACCTGTTCTGGGTCCATGTCAATTTTCTGTTGTTGTCGTGTCCAATAAAAGAGCCTCAGATGTTTCCATGCATCTCTATCTCAGCTGTAGCAATGTCTTCTATCTTGGGTGTGTAAAGCTGCTGCTCTGGGTCCATGTCAATTTTCTGTTGTTGTCGTGTCCAATGAAGAGTCTCAGAGGTCTCTATGCATCTCTATCAGACCACTCATTAACCAACCCCAAAATGGGAAACAATAAATACAGAAAATAATAATAAAGAAAAAATCCTCTCTGCAATAAAAAAGAAGGTATTTATAAAAGATCCGTAGAACTCGGGTACAGGAATCCCCAACTAATCGATAAACTTGTGCAGCCAACTCACGGCCTCTAACGATGGTGAGGAATAATCCATGGTTTCCTGCCAGCTCTGTTTCCATTAGAGCTAGTAGACCGCACCAATCAATATTGATGCAACACAACCTCCTGAAACATTCGCTAATTTGGAATGACATTAATAAACGCCTAGCTTTCTCCACCTCACTGAATAGCGAAGTGTTTCACTATTTTTTTTTTATTCTAGAACAGAGTATTTGCTGATCTGAACTTAGTATAGACCTTTCTCTTTTTTATCAGCTTCCAAACAAACTCGATGTGGAAACCACATCATATATTTGTCAATATCTTAAAGAGAAAAAAGTAATGCTATAAATGAGAAGAGTCAAACAAAGTAAATTGTTTGGTTTTGTTGTCTTTGTTCTCAGAGGCTTCTTGAGAAACCGAGCTGCTCAGCGCTTTTGAGGGCCAACAGCCCGAAACGCTTTCATGGATGTCTTTTCTTGATTAGTCAAGAAAATGGGTTGGCCAAATATCAGAGAAGAGCCTAAATCAACGTTTAGTTGATTTCTGTTCCACTAGATGGCGCTCTGACATCTAAAAAGCACAGTTTGGTCAGGATATTCCTTCATTATTTTTAATATCAACATCTGACCTCATTATTATTATTTTTATTATTTTTTTAACATAATGATATTTGTACATAAACAAATATATAAATATCTTATAATCCAAATATATATCTAATATTCAATCTCGGAGGAAAGAGAAGAACCGACGCTGGTCGAAGTGCTATCGACTCCTTAATATTTGGGAGCCGGCTTTAAACTGGTGTCGCTGATTTCTGCTTGCACAAAGCTCAGGCATACATAGATGTACCAGGCAGTCGTGAAATGTGGGCAAGTAGAAGGAAGGATGTAGCTACACAGCCAAAAGGATGACAAGAGGATAAAGGTTTGAATCACCTGACATAGAAGAACCTTTGCGCAGAGGCGATATCGTGGCCCATGGGGATCTTCCGAGGCAAGATTGTTGCTGGTTGAAGACTTTACCCACCTGACAAAGAATAAAGAAGCTGAGAGAAATCGACCTAGAATAGCTGTCAGATCAGCGCTGTGTTCGCTTAGAGCGACACGTATGGTTGTGACAGTAGTGACTCAGGAATCGCCTCCAGCCGAACTGGACATTCCCTGCTGCTCTGTCTAACACCAGCTTTTATAGGAGTTTTTTACTGTTGGGCAGAATTACATTTAAGGCAGCTGAAAATATGAAAAATCTGTTATTATTTCACATATCGATGTTCAACAGTTTACGGAGGCCTTTGGGAATCCATGTCTTCAAGTGGGATCCATTGAAGAAAGGACTGTCATTGGTCTGCTTGCATCTACAGAGGATATACTTCCCCGACTTGGGAACTGTGAACGTGATGCTTGTGAGTCCTTTGGTTTCATGGTTCTTGTAGGATCCGTCGCAGAAGGCCTGTTTCTTGCTATAACCACATGAGCATCAAGCTTTTATAGAAGTTGTTTTATGAAAAGGGCATCGACCCGGCTGCTGTAACGAATGAAAAGAAAATTACAAAAAAAAAAAGGACAAAGACGTGCGTTGATTCAGCGAAGTAATTTTCCGGGAAGAAGAGATGTGGCAATTTCTTTATCAAACATGGCCGCTCTATATCAGCTCTTTTCATTCCTTTTGACAGGAATTCTTTGTTATATTCCGTAGTATCACTCACATATTTGCATAGAAATGTCCATATACAGGTGACACATAGGGAATTTACCATATATATGGTAAATAAAATAGTTATATCTATAATATATGAAAGATAATTAGTGTAAGAGGAGTATTGATAGTTGAAATTAGATAAATATTATTTTTTAAAACGACATTTGAAAATGATCACACACAAGTTTCTTTTCAACGAAAAATCTAAATGTATTTTAAGGAGAAATAACGATTATTTCTAACCTTAGGGATGAAATATGAAAGGATGAATTTGGAAGAGTAATGATAAACGGAAAAATAAAAGTGTCCAGGGATGGGAACCGAACCTACAGTGTTCCGCTTACCGGGCAGATGCCATGTCCACTAGGCTACCCTGGACATATTTCCCATTCCTGGACACTTTTATTTTTCCGTTTATCATTACTCTTCACAATTCATCCTTTCATACTTCATCCCTAAGGTTAGAAATAATCGTTATTTCTCCTTAAAATAAATTTGGATTTTTCGCTGAAAAGAAACTCATGCGGGATAATTTTCAAATGTCGTTTTACAATCACAAGCCGCATTATATTATATTGTATTATTTTCAAGGTATCAAAAAGGTTTTGTATTTTATGTAACAAAATAGGGCTATAACAAGTTTACACTGTAGCTTCGGCTGTTACGCGTCATAGTAGCAGAACATTATATATATATATGCTGTGAAAAAAAAAGAGATTTCTGTTGATTTTTTTTGAATATCTTGAGGATTA